TTCTCGATAATTTTCCATTACTCCATATTAAAACCCAAATCTGTAACATACACTAACTGGTAAGGCTCTGCTTGATCTGTCTCCTCAGGCACCCCTGGAGTCATTCCGCACTCTACTCTTCCACTGCCCTATACTCTTCCCATTCTTCAATTATCTACACTTCTTCCAACCTCCAAGTTTTTGTACATGCTGCTCACTCTACTTAGAACGCTAATTCCTACTCTTTTCATTAAGTGACTTCCTCTTCCTCCTTTGGATCTCATTTTAAATGCTGCTTCCCTAGAGAAGTTTTTCTAACCATCTAGACCAGGTCAGCTTCCCCAACATCCCTATTTTACACTTAGGGCATACTGTCCTTTTAGTTAGGATTATAATCAAATCATTAACTCACTATTTAACATCTGTTTTCCTTTCTATGTGACAGCAGCAACTATCCGTTACTCAGCCAACCCCACGCTCTAATACAAGGTTCAGTATATAGTCGAAACTCAGTGCGTCTCTACTGAAATAATTAATTAATTATAGAGAAATCTCCTTTTGCCATACTTCTCTAGACTTTACGAGAATGATACAGATCAATAGGTGATTTTGTATGTTCAAAGAGAATGAATAGGAATTTACATTGTCAATTTGAATTTACAACTGACAAATGACTTAAACCTTTAAATCAAAGAATCTGAAAGAATCCTATTCTGCTTTGTTGCTACTTTCAACAAAGTTTAAGAATGAAGCATTTCGTTGTTCTACTCGTCAATGCCTGTCATCAAAATACATGGCTAAATCATTTACGTGCCTGGTGGTTTCCAAATGAGTCATTATTCTCTTATCAACAGTGATGAATGGGCCCTTGTAAAAAAGCATTATTACCATTGGTAGTCATGTTCATGGCTGTCAAAATGCATGTTCTTGTACAACCATCAAAAGCAGCTGACTGACAAATGAACATGCCTTTAGCTCTGGATTTTTCAAGAAAGGTTATGAAATATACATTTCCTTAAAATACAATCCCATACCTCAGATTGGACTAGTAACTTCCAGGTAAGGCACCAGAGAACAGTGGTGTGATTTAGAGGGATAAGATAGATATCCAAATAGAATGAGACAGCAGGTGATGTAATGATCCAACCACATGAAAACAGGTCAAACCAAACTTAATTCTGCCAGCTTGACACAGCCACTGAAGCCCCTTATATGTGCTTTCAGTCATCCCTGTTGTGTCAATCTTTAAATCAGCAATTTTGTCACATGCAATATGCATCTTTCTTGGTCAAATGCAAGGTACATATTTTAGCTAGCTGCTCCTCTTTTCTGAGCAGTTTACAATTGTGAATAATGTCTAATATACTGTATTCAGAAGCAAACAATTTAAAACAATACATTCGGGCTGCTAATCTGCTTTTAACATCTCTGATTTGTAAAGAAACTGCAAGAATCAAGAGTGGCATGCAGTGCTGTGCCTAAGTGATACTTGATTTCAGTTCTCACCACCCCGTCATTGCCTTAAACTCAAAAAGAGCCTGAGGGATGCTCCACAAAACAACACTAGGAATTATATTTAATGTTTCTGTCATAGAACCAATCATTGACCTAAAATAAGTTCAGCCATGTGTTCACTAAGTGGATAATCCTGCTTTCAAAAAGAAAGGAGAAACACAACTTTGAGTTCTCAGAAGCTATATCCCTTCTCTAGATAACTCTTTACTGAAGCTTTGATTTAAGATTTAGGATTCCTTTGACTGACAAAGCTAAACGTCCCATGCCCCCACACTGATGTCATTCATTTCTAATATTAGCAGCAGAGCAGCTCAGGTTCACCTGGGAAAGAGGAGCTTTTATTTTGAGTTAAACAGGAGCAGATACTAAAAATGAACACGGTGAGACTTCCTTCTGGTATATCTGACACAGATAAAATAGGCAAACCAGTGCAACGAGACTAGTATTTTGAATCAAATGGGAAAGGGATTCAATCTAATTGGAAATTTGATGTGCTTACCGAATTAAGAAATAAAATGAAAATATATAAAGTTGTTTTGTTGCACAACGTCACACTGGATCATAAAATGCTTATGAAAATTCCATATGGGTGAGATAAAGAAGGTTCCAGGGCATCTGTTATAGCCCAGCATGAGGTGTAAACTTGGCCATTATTTGGTGGTATAGCCACACAAACAAGCTTTTGGATGATATATGTTGTACTCATTAGATCAAATGCATCTAGTTTTGTGGCACTTATAATCCAACAGAGCTTAAATGGATCAGAGTAGCTGGACAATTGCCATATCTCCTAGTATTGCACAGACATAAATACAGGCAGGAGGAAGCAGATGCACCATTTGGAATCGCAGAAATTGTGTTGGAATAACATGCCCTGATTGGGGGGAACTAGATCCTCATACCTTCTCCATCTGCAAAATGAGTGGCATCGTCCTGTGTTAGAGTGCTTTCTGAGGTAGGAGTCTCACGAAGAGACTCAGCCCCGGACAGAGTCAAGGCGATGGACTTAGGTATGGCTCATGTACAGAAAATGCCTCTCACTTCAGTAGGCATTCCTATTGTGGGGCCAGCTAACCAAAACTGAATGGTTACTAACTCCTGAATATGGTAACTATTCCTTCTAGAGGGTGAGGATATTTAGAGAAAGAGTTAAAGGAAATAAAACCACCAAGGCTAAATGTGAGACTTTTCACCACCATATCAATATTTGTCTGTAACTAAACTAAACTTGTCTTATAGTGCAAAATCTTCTAAGGTTTTCATTCCAAAAAGCTGGTCTGGATGTTTAATCAGCAGTGATGAGAAAATGGGCCATGTTTAATACTTGCTACTTTGCAGTTTGTTTTTGCGATTCTCAAGTTTCTCAAGTTTGGTCTTTGAAAACCATAGCAGAGTGATCATTATCTTCCTAAGTCACTGTCATAGGAAAATAGGACAGGTGTTTCCCCCAACCTTGGGTGTGGAGATGTTGCTCAGTAAGTACCCAGTGACATAACCAGGCTCTATCTGAGTTTATGAGAAAAATGTCTTGCTCTACATCGTTTTCTGCAGTAAGTCCTTTCTCTCTGTTGTTTTCAGAATTACTGAAAGATATTAAAATAACATGAAAACCCTTACCTGGATCTTTTCTCCCATGACACCCACATAGTTATACAAATGCAGGCCTGGGATAGCGCCCCCTTTCTGTGTACATTCAAAGAACTCCATGAAGGACGTACCCCACGCTACCGTAATGACATAGTTGTTCTTCTGTGACCCTCAGAAAATTGAGAGGGTAGAGTATTGTGCTTTGTTCCTCTTTACTGATTCATCAGTGTTCAATATCTCCACCTGAAAGACTGTTATTCACATTTACATATACTTGCTTTTATTGTTTTGGTGTATTTTTTTAAATTCTCCTTACTATATAGCTTCTGCTCTAGATTCCTATTTAAAATCAGTAACTTTTAGACTAAAAGAAAGATCTTCTTGTTGCACATCTTACAGTTTTCTGAGAAACTACTAAATGAACAATTTTTATGCAAATTATTTTCATGAAAAAGTTCAATTATTTTTCTCCCATTGAGTAAAATAGTTCAAAATATTTTTCACACACATCTTTATTCAAAAGTTTCCCTTCAGGTGGACATATCTAATTCATATGGGAAAATTTAACATTATGTCTGTGAGGGGGTGAGCAGAGGGAGAAAGCGCAAAAAATACTTATGCTTTGCATTTATTTGCTGTGCAACACTTTAGCATACATTATTATGCCCTGGCCTCACAACAGTGATGCTAGATAAATGGCACAGGCATTAATATCTCATCCTACTAATGAAATTGAACCTCAGAGGAAGGAAGTGACTTCTTCAAGGTTGTGCCAATGGGGTAGAAACTAGGGTATTCCAACTCTTCGCAATGTGATGCACTTTGGAGTATGCTATGAAATTAAATGTGCTGTTTTGGTGGCATTTTATAAACAAGAATAACAAACAGGGGAAAGAAATCAATGCAAAAATCAGAGCATTAATTACTAACACTAAAGAAGCCAAACTGTGGAAGGGAGAACCTGGAGGGGCTGAGCCGTGCTGCAGTCGGAAAAGTTTGTGTGTGCTGTTCTGTTTGGGAAGGGGGAGGAAAATTGTGTTCTCACAAGAGTATCTGATCAGAAAGTAAAGGATGCAATTTTCTACCATGTTTCAATTATTTAAGCTTTACCTCCTCATGCTGAACCCCAACGAAATCCTGTAAGGCATCCTTTCTCTGAGAGTTCGATTTCTTCTTTGACAGTAATTATGCGGATGACAGGAAGATGCCTTGGGTCTGGGTCTCCATAGACAAATATCTTACAATGAAGACTGGAGTGCCTAGTTCTCTCTCTATTTAAAGAGTGAAAATATATTTCCTTTCCCTGATAAACCTTTAGAGTAGAAAAGCAAAGGTGTTGATGAGGAAAAGAAAAATCATTTAAAAAAAATCTATAACCTTCTTGCAGCAATTTTATAAAAAATAATATAATTTAGTTTAAATAGCCTAAAGGACTTTGTATTTGTTCTTTTAATAATTCTCATCCACTGGTAATAATACCCTGTTTTAGAAGTCAGTTTGTCAGTTATTAAATTAGTGAATATTTATTAAGGGTCCGCTGCGTGTCAGGCTCTGTTGTTGAATAATGAATGAGTAATGAATGACTGGTTGGTAATAAATAAGATACAGATCTTTCCCTCAGGGAGCTTACTACATTCTAGAAAGAGAAAGACAATTTGTAAACAAATTAATAAAAACCATCATTCAGAGCTGAACAGCTGCATTTGGTGGGGACATCTGTTCTTGTGCTGAGTCTGAGCACATTCTGAGCTTCCTAGTGCCCCACAGAGATGAGAGGGAGACTCCCCAAGACCATAGCTTGTGTCTGGGGTTCTGCCTCTACCATGACTCAGCAAAAGTGAGATATAATATTCATGGTTAAATGTACACAATTTCACCTAAAGAAACAATGACCACATGTTGCTTTATTTTTATTCCAGGAATCTTGGAAAATCAGGACTCAGAGTTTCTTGCTTGGGTCTTGGTAAGTACTTGGGGAATCATGTGTGGTGGGCTGGGAGGTGGAAAATTGGGGGTACCAGGGAGCGATTGGGGTGCAGGTCAGGACCTAGTCTAAGGTGAGAATGGACTTCCTAACCAGCATGGCCCCACTTCTCCTTTTGAGCCTTTCCTGCCCAACACAGCCCTCTGCCTCTCAGGTCCAAGGAGCCACTGTGTTCATGAGCTGATCAAAGAGAAAGAAATCCGATATTAAAGCACACCCTAGGGGAGGAGACTCGTGTGTCAGTCCCATTTAGCAAGCGTGAAGGACCTCATGGAATGCATTATTATGCTCACCTCACCAGCAGCATCATCTGAACTTTTTCTATTCTTATTTTCCCTTTGCCTAATTTCTTCACTTATTTTTCTATATTTTTGTGTATTTTAGGTACTTTCCTAATCTACCTTAAATATTTTGGGGACAAAGTGATCATCTAGATATAGATATAAATGTAGATGTAGATGTAGATGCAGATATAGAAGATATAGATATAGATGATATAGATGATAGAGATAGAGATAAAGATAGAGATAGAGACAGAGATAGAGATAGATGTAAGTATATATAGATATAGGAAATGTCCAATAAGCAGTTAGACAGTCCTGATCTTAAAGGAGAAATGTGAGCTGGAGATGTAGATGTAGATGTAGATGTAGATGTAGATGTAGATGTAGATGTAGATGTAGATGTAGATGTAGATGTAGATGTAGATGTAGATGTAGATGTAGATGTAGATGTGAAAGTCGGGAGGAGGTTTTCTTGACCCCTGTTGAATGGAGATATGGAGACCAGGGAAGGGATGATAGTAAATGAATAAAAGATAGTGGCAACTAATTCTGCCTCTTTTCATTGTATTTCAAAGACATTAAGCTTATTGATGCCTAAATTTTTCTGATTCTTCCTAATGATCTGATTTGGGAGGTAAGGGTGGTTCTCGTTCGCCATAAGTCTAAGGGAATTTGACATATGCTTAATTTCTGGGTCTAGTTACTATTTACTTCTATTTTGGAAGGAAATTAACCATCAGGATAGTCTAACCTTAGTTTTATGAGAATATACCTTATGTTAAATAATTATTCAGTATCCAGTGTTGAAAGAAACTACTATAAATATAAATTAAGAAATATAATGATTTAAGAAAATATAAATTAGAAAATATAGTAAAAAATCATTGACCAATTATCTCACAGAGTCAGTACCTATGGCAGAAAATAATCTAGTGAAAAGTACATAGACAATTTAACCAAAGGCCCTTGAGACTATAAAAATTGAGGTGTCCATGAAGTGCCACAAGTAAATGAGTCTCCAGAGGTCAGACAGCAATTTTTTCAAACTGTGTGTAAGTTATAGGTATTTTGGTGAACTTTAAAACAGACTTGATTCAAATGCAGCATGTCTGATTTAGCATCAAGCTTTTCTGAGAGCCTGAACATTTGGGATAAGACACTGCATGGATAATAGGAGAAAACAAGGAGGTTTATAGGCTGACTGGCTTTATTCAAAACAAGTGACAAAGATTGACAGTATGAATAAGCATCCTTTAAGAATTTTTCTGAGCTGCCTCTGTAAGCCAGAGGAGGCAAAAAAATTCAGAGAAAGGAATAATGCCTCTGCCTTTGATAAAATGTCAGGCCCTGCAGACCCCAGTTGTCCAATGTAGGGGGAGCTGGGTTTATTGCTGTAGGCTTGGGATGTCAGCAAAGTCATAGCGCATGTTCAACAGAGGCTTTGAAAATTAAGTATTAAATGTTCCAAGCAATCACGTGACTATAGATGTCTTTTAGTGAAATACTCTAAATTTCGTAGTTAAAGCTAACAACTCTGACTTTCTTCTCTACCAGAGGATGGGCTGGGAATTTCTTGCCCTGCCAAACTTCCTTTTGATAAACTAAGAATATGTGTAAATGGGAGCAGATAGATGAAGTATCTCGAGAATGTACTGAAGATACATGTGAAGAAATACAGCTCTGCCAACAAGAGAAATGGGGAGAAAATTAAGTGGGCAAATTCACCTGTGGGTTGCTGTGGCTTGCCTGGTTTATGAATACACTGACCACTGCTGTTAAGACCCAAAGTCAAAGAAACTGATGGGAAAGGAGTAAATTCATCAGAGTGATGAAAATCAACCCAGTCTAGTGGGAGGTGAGATCATCTTCTGAGAGAGGAAGAGTAAAATTTATGTATCCATTCGTTCATTCATTCTCAGCAAACCTTTCGGAAGCCAGGCATTGTGCTGGTTCCAGGGGTTACCGAGATCAAAGCAGCAAGGACCCCACTCTCAAATTGCTCCCAGAGTAGTAGGAGTCAAGCATGTAAATGCAGACAATGCATTTGACAATGCCACAGTGGATGAATCAAGCACAAAAGTTCTCCTGGGGAATTTGGGATGGCTTCACAGGGAAGGTGCTGCAGGAGCTGAGATTTGAAGAGAGTCATCAAGTGGAGAAGAAGGTGGAAAAAGAGGGTGAAGAATTCAAGATAGAGGGAGCAACGTGAGCAGTGGCCGGGAGGCAGAACCCCAGGGCAAGAGGTACTCAGAGAAACACTAGTGAATGTATAGAATATTGCAAATGCAAGATGTTCCGAAATCATAAAAAATTAGTCTGGAAGGAAAGCTAGGCCTGATCAGGAAAGCCCTCGTTTGCCTTGCTAAGGCATTTAGCTCTTGTCCTCTAGATCTCTCTGTGGCGTCCCTGCAATTCCTAAGGACCCAAAGTGTCAGGGAACACCTGGGGGATGAGGGACAGACAGTGCTTCACCGCTCTCCACGGGTCTCCTTCCACTGCCATGGCTGCCATCCAAGTAACTCCACTTTTTCTAAATGTAAATGTAAATATAAAAAAGAATTTTAATGTAAATTTAAATTGAAAATGTATAAATATCAATTTAAGCATTTTTAATGTGATAAATAATAAATGACTATTTTCAGAGCAGTTTTAGCTTCACAGCAAAACTGAGCAGAAAGTGCAGAAAGTTCCCCGTCCCCCACGCACACACAGCTTCCCCCACTGCTGCCAGCTCACACCAGAGCGGTGCCGCGATTACAGTCCTACGAGACACATTATTGTCATCCAAAATATTATCACACTAAACTACAGTTTAGATTAGATGTATGTATAACTCTTGATGTTTTACATTTCCTGGGTTTAGACAAATGTGTAATGACACATATCCACCATTATACTACTACACAGAGCACTTTCACGGCCCTTAAAATCCTCAGCGCTTCACCAATTCATCTCTCCCTTAACCCTTCACGGCCCTTAAAATCCTCAGCGCTTCACCAATTCGTCTCTCCCTTAACCTTTGACAGCCACTTATTTTTTTTTTTTTCCAGAATGTCCTCTAGTTGGAATCACAATATGTGGCCTTTTCAGATGGACTTCTTTCACTTAGTAAGATGCATTTAAGTTTTCTCCAAATTTTTTCATGGCTTAATAGCTCATTTCTTTCTAGAGTTTCGCATTACATTTTGAAGGAAAAACAAAGGGCAGCCTTCTGCCAAAGAAAAGTTTAAAATGCTCTAGCTTGTGAAAAGCCATTTAAAAACTTGGATCGGGAGTAGGACGTGGTCAAAGGTATTAGAATTGTTTTCCGGCAGTGACACAGAGGCTAGATTAGAGGAGGAACGGGTGGAGACTGGAGACAGGGAGATAAATTAGGAGTCAGATGTCGAGATGGTGGTATTAAAGATGGACAGAAAGGAGGTGATATTTAGGAGAAAGAACAAACAGGACTTAGTTACCTTGCCATACACAATGAGAAGTCACCCTGGGCAGAGGAGGATGCCTGAGTTCCTGGACTGGGCAGGTGGGTGGGTGAGCTGAAATCTCAGGAGAAAATGCAGGAGAGAGTAGTAAGAGGAAGGAGGATTCAGAGAAGGGGAGCATTGCTGGGGAGTGGTCATCAGAGCCTGTGAACTTTTGGCTTCAGATACCCAGAGGGCTTGGGGAGCGCTGGAGAAAGCTCTGGGCTGGAAATAAAGATGCAGGAACTTCTAACAATGGTAAACCCAGGATTGTCATTGAGATCACCTGCAAATACAGAGGACTGAGATATTTGCACAGGTTTAGGACACCCACCTGATGGAATTTGCCAGACTGCACACTCCTTGAGAGCAGAGATCACCTCTGCTCTTTCTACACCTCTGTTGTAGCTTTAGCAGATCAAGGTATCTGCTAAGTATTAGGTGCTCAAAAATATTTATTGAATGAATGAATGGACAGATGGATCAATTGCTAAGGAATGACAAAAAGCACACTAGGTAATAGTGGAGATCCAGCGGACATCAGATTTCATGAATTCCTGGGGTCAAGCCAGCCCGGTTCTTTGCTTTCCTTCAGCAGCATTTCAATGCAGAAACAGAGAAGGCCTCGTGGAGGTGGGAGGTGGGGAGAGGAGACAGAGGCCCAGCATGGAGGATTGTCCCTAAAGCGGGTGGGGCTGGGGGTCCCCCGCGTACACCGTGTCTCGGAGTCCAGGCTGGGTTGACTCAGGGCCTTCTCAGGGGGGCTCTCACTCCTGCAGTGAGAAGGAGGCACCTGCTTGCATTCTGAGTTGCTCCACAGAGTCTCACAGGAGGAGCAGGAGGTCTGTCTGGTTCATGTCATGGGAGGTGACACACCACAGTGGGCAGCTGCTCCTCCAGGTGCTTGAAAGGGGCTAGCTTTACCCTGCACCATTCGCTCTGGGACATGTGTGCTTCCCTCCAGGTAAGTAAGATGCTTACAAAACAAAAAGGCACGTGATGGTTAATTTTATGTGTCAACTTACTGGGATGCAGTGTGCAAACATTGTTCTGGGTGTGTCCTGAGGGTGTTTTTGGATGAGATTAACATTTAAATTGGTGGACTGTGTAAAGAAGTTTGCCCTCCCCAACCCAATGTGGGTGGGTGGCCCTCATTCAATCAGCCGAAGGCCTGAAAAGTACTAAAAAGGCTGACCTTTCCTCAAAAAAGAGGAAACTCCTCCTGTTTGACTGC